AGACATGGGTTTCTTAGTCATAAACACCAAACCCTCGTTATGATCAAGTTCCATTATTGATCGTCTGGTCGGGTGCGTGACTCACTCATGGTCTGTGGGCCATGGTGCCTCGCCTCGCTGGTGTGCCATCAGGTGCGCGGACCTCAGCCGCACATGGACACACGCGCCATACCAACCAACGTACCGGTAATCAAGTGTAGGTAAGAGTTAATTATCAAGTGTTGATAATTAATAAGCAAGGTTGATCATTTATGTCACGCACTCTCGGCAAGCCACGCGATATCACTTTGATTTTGGACGACATGAACGCACTGCTTACGCCTCTCGCCTCCGTCCTCGACACGCTGTGCACCCCGGACGAAGGCATCGTGGACGTCGGGAAAGTTCTCGACATGCCAGTGACTGCGCCGTTTACCGCCGTCCATGCAGGCACGCTGTGGGGTGTCGATGTGCTCATTTACGTACTACCTCTCGACACCTTGCCGGCGACGATGCGGTTCCCCGTGCGCATGGGCTCCCTTTTCTTCGGCGAGACGACCGAGGCAAGCAAGATGCTGGCGCTGCGCTGCATGATGCACAAAGAACACGCCTTGTACGAGTCGCCTCCTCTTCCAATATGCCTCATATTTAAATGACGCGTAGCTACGTGGTCACGGAGCGTACTGCAAACGGCGTCTTGCGCAGCCTCTTGGAGAGCCAAACGCTCCTGGACGTTCGCAGCAGCCTCCAGATCCTGCTCGACGTGGCCATAGGCATGCGTTACCTCCACGACCGCGACATCATTCACCGCTCACTGACGGCGAGCTCTGTCCACCTCACGTACACCGCTGCAGCGTGCATCCGAGTGCACACCTTTTTCTGTAGAAAATTTGGCGCCAAGATTGGCAGCCACACGTTTTGCCGCGAAATCGACACGCGACCGATGACCAACATTGGGATTCCATTCTACGCCGCGCCAGAAATCCTCGTCGGCAATCATGTGTACACGGAGAAGGTCGACGTCTACAGCTTTGCAATGCGTACGTATACTGCCACGTCTCTCGATGTGTTGACCAAATGATTTTAGTCATTGTCGAGATCGTTACCAAACATTAGCCGTATGCCAACGTGGATGCCCCCGAGGCCAAGATCTTGAAGTTTATTGTCCAGCACCACTACCGCCCTGTCTTTGTCCGCACATCCGAGTGGCCCGCTGCCTTGTTCACACTCATGGAGAAGTGTTGGCATCCTGATCCCCAAGAGCGTCCGTCATTTCCCGTGATTGTTGAGCGCCTCGAGGCGATGCTAGTGGAGCAAGCATGATCAAAAACACCAAGCAGCCACTTGCGCGTAGGCAACTGGACTCCTGGCGACCATCC